AATTTTTGATTGCTCCATGCTATATTATCTTCTGTTTTGGACATTATTGGGCTTTATTATCCACTTTTATATTATTTTTGGGACTAACCTATTAACCGGAGGCCCAGCCTGGAATTGCTGGTTTTTTTTGCCTATTTTAGGGTTTTGAAGAAAAGGAATATCAAACGGAGTCCAAACGGAATGAAACCTTCGGGAACGTGATTTTTGGAACGAACAAGATCCAGGAGACTTAGACTCCACCGACGTACTCCTTCATCCTATATATACCTACGTACCCCCAAACGATCAGATACGGAGCCAAAACCCTAATTCCACCGCCGTAACTTTCTGTATCCACAGGATCCCATCTTGGGGCCTGTTCCGGAGCTCCGCCGGAGGGGGCATCGATCACGGAGGGCTTCTACATCAACACCATAGCCTCTCTGATGAAGTGTGAGTAGTTTACCTTAGACCTTCGGGTCCATAGTTATTAGCTATATGGCTTCTTCTCTCTTTTTGGATCTCAATACAAAGTTCTCCCCCTCTCTTGTGGAGATCTATTCGATGTAATCTTATTTTGCGGTGTGTTTGTTGAGACCGATGAATTGTGGGTTTATGATCAAGTTTATCTATGAACAATATTTGAATCTTCTCTGAATTCTTTTATGTATGATTGGTTATCTTTGTAAGTCTCTTCGAATTATCAATTTGGTTTGACCTACTAGATTGATCTTTCTTGCAATGGGAGAAGTGCTTTGCTTTGGGTTCAATCTTGCGGTGTCCTTTCCCAGTGACAGTAGGGGCAGCAAGGCACGTATTATATTGTTGCCATCGAGGATAACAAGATGGTGTTTTCATCATATTGCATGAGTTTATCCCTCTACATCATGTCATCTTGCTTAAAGTGTCACTATGTTCTCTTGAACTTAATACTCTAGATGCATGCTGGATAGCGGTCGATGTGTGGAGTAATAGTAGTAGATGCAGGCAGGAGTCAGTCTACTTGTCTCGGACGTGATGCCTATATACATGACCATACCTAGATATTCTCATAACTATGCTCAATTTTGTCAATTGCTCAACAGTAATTTGTTCACCCACCGTAAAATACTTATGCTCTTGAGAGAAGCCACTAGTGAAACCTATGGCCCCCGGGTCTATCTTCATCATATTAATCTTCCAATACTTAGTTGTTTTCATTGCCTTTTATTTTACTTTGCAACTTTATCATAAAAATACCAAAAATATTATCTTATCATATCTATCAGATCTCACTCTCGTAAGTGACCGTGTAGGGATTGACAACCCCTTATCGCGTTGGTTGCGAGGATTTATTTGTTTCGTGTAGGTGCGAGGGACTCGCGCGTAGCCTCCTACTGGATTGATACCTTGGTTCTCAAAAACTGATGGATATACTTACGCTACTTTGCTGCACCACCCTTTCCTCTTCAAGGGAAATCCAATGCAAGTGCTCAAGAGGTAGCAATGATGCATACATGTCAACTATGGGTGTTGGCTCCAACAATTCGCATTGGTCTCAAACCAATGACATGCATTTCGAAGAGCATGAGTTCGAGGTGGACGAGGATGGTGAGGGCATTGTCGACGCGCCGAAAGGAAGAGCGGGCAATTACACCAATGTCGATGACATCTTACTATGCAATACTTTATTGCAAGTGTCGAGGGATCCATCCGTTGGAGGTGATGAAAGTAGAGATGCTTATTGGGGGCGGATGAAAGAACACTTTGATGTTTGCAACGTGAGTGGAATTGACCGCTCCGAGAGATCACTTCAGTCCCGGTGGTCGACAATCAACTCGGATTGTGAAAGGTGGGCGGCCGCACAAAAGGCGGTTGACAAGTTGAACCCAAGTGGCACAAATGAGGACAATAGAGTAAGTGGCATTCCATACATGTTCATCATACTTGTTGTTGGTGTTCGAAGTGCTAACTTGCTTTGTTTTCATGTAGTACAACATTGCACAAAACTTGTTCAAAGGAGAGGAGAAAAGAACCAAGAAGGGGAAGATCAAGAAAGGAAGGATATTTACCTTGCCTCATTGCTATGAAGTGTTGAAGGATGATGAGAAATGGAAGAAGCATGATGATTTGCATTTGAGCAACAAACGCAAGCGAACAATTGAGTTGAATGATGATGATGATGAGGAGGATGATGCATCAAGTGACGGCAAGAGAAGCCCCACACCCAACTCGGTTTCATACTCGAAGCCAAAACGACCGGATGGGTGCAAGAAAGACGCAAAAGAAAAGAAGAAGAGGAAATGAGATGATGAGCTCAAAAATGCTATGGAAGCTATTGTGAAGGCAAGAAAAGAAGCCAACGAGGTGAGGAAAATGGCAAGGAACCAAGATGCCGCGACCGAGGAGAGGAGGTTGGCGGCCAGGGAGAGGAGGGTGGCGACCAAGGAGAGGAAGGTGGCTTTGGAGGAGAGGAAGATGAGCAATGAGGAGCGAACTAGATTGTTGGAATGGGAGAAGCACTTGTTCTTCTTGAACACATCTATCCTCAATGAGGTGCAAAAGGAGTATGTCAATCTTGCCGTGAAGAAGTCTTGATCCAAAAAAGAGCCATGATTCGTGCAATGGGTGGCGGTGGCCTTGGCGCCATGGGTGGCGGTGGCCTTGGCGCCATGGGAGGCATGGGAGGCTTCGGAGGTACCGTGGGTGGCTTAGGTGCCATGGGTGGCTTTGGAGCTACCATGGAGACCATGGGAGGCATGGGTGGCTTTGGAGCACCCCCCGACGCTATGGCCGCCATGGGAGGCATGAGTTTTGCTTCTCTCATGGGAGGCATGGGTGCACCTCCGGCCGTGTTGGGCGGAATGTCTTCCGGTGTGCCTCCTCACACACATTCCCATGAAGATGCCGTTGAAGATCTTGCCAACACCGTCGGAGCTTCACGTGATGCAGTGCGCGATGAGGAGGAGGAGGAAGAATCATCTTCGGAGGAGGAAGAATCGTCTTCCGAAGATGAGGACGAAGACGAGGACGAGGCTTGATGTGTCTTTCGTTTGTGTCATGAACTTGATTTGCATTTTGAACTTGGTTGGATGAACTCGTGGGCATGAACTTTTATTCATCAACTTGTTTGTGTGAAATTTAGATGTCATGTTCATTGCATTTTGAAGGTTTCAAATTCATTTTGTGTTCAAAATGCAACATATGCAATGCCCCGGCGAGTTGCGCGCACTCCTTTTTTTGCGCGCTGCATTTTAGCGCGGCTGTTGGAGCCAGCACTGCCAGCCGCGCAAAACCAGACGAAGGGCGCACGGCAAAGTAGTTTTTTGTGCGCAGCGCGTAGCGCGGCTGTTGGAGATGCTCTTAGTACGAGACCATCCTCACATAAACAGAAACACATGCTATTCTTAGATATATCGACACCATCTTCCTTTTGCATCATCGCCCAGACAGGTAGACTAAACCCTAGTCAAGTCCAGAACTACATAAATTTCATGGATAATCCTCAAATGATGGCTTCCCCATTTTATTTGTGCCAGAAGACATTTGGAGGCAGAGGCGGCTGCATGTACGGGAAAACCCCAGTAGGTTGTGTTTTTGGGTGAGATGGTGAGAGTAGTGCAACCCTTAGTTGCTCCAAGAGAAATCATGTGGAATCGCCCTACGCATCGTGCCACATAAAACATTAATTTTGGTTGGATGACACACATTCCAAAAAGTTTGCTATGGACATGTATGGACATACGATCGTTTAAAGTAACATTTTACTAACAACACTAACTTGTCACTTGTATAAATATCAACTATTGGCTAATACATTATCCAAATTTTGAAAATACTACACATAAATTGCAAAAAGAAAGGATCTAGATCTAACCTTGGAGCCGCAACCATTGCCACTTTCCCAAACACATGAAACACAACTTCTACAACATAACTCTTAAAACCCAAATGAATGACCGGCTTTGGAAGCCCAAGGGGGTCGATAGAGCGGGGGCTTGCACGCCAAATGAGAACCATGTATATAAACGACCACCGAAGTATATTGGCAACCTTCGCCTGCCAAACCTCCTAATCTTTCATTTCCTCCTCAAATCCAAGGCTTGAGGCTTTCTTTTCGCCCAAATGTATTCTCTACACCATGTTCGACCCATCCGCAGTTCCACACACTCTTGGTGCCATCTTCAAGAAATTAGGCATTAGCCCGCCTTTATAGATAAAGCACCGACCAATCTGAACAACTAGTATAAAGTAAGCCACAGGGGCACAACCAAAGAAAGCCCCAAAACAAAAATAAATGGATGCAAAGAGGCCACTGACGCTATCTTGTTGGAACCGGAAGCCCACCGATCATCGAGCATCTCAAGTCTCATGAGATGCCACCATTGCAACATAAATGCAATAGGAATGTAAACAAGGTCAGGCACATGTCATAGACAGTCGTGAGCAATCACAAGCTTGTCCCAGGAGGTCCAAAGGGCTTAAGTCATGGCCGTAAAAGAAAAAAAATATAGGAGGTGTCTCCTCCTATCAGTGAGGGACTAAGCAATGACCACAAGGTCAAGCAGACTCGCAGGGCACCAACTGCACCACATGACCTCGCAAAGGCAAAAGTGTAGCGCCCTGGGAGCGTCACTGTACAGATCTAGCACCTCCGCTAGCATCCGCATAATATTGACCCGAAGATGCCACCCCACACAATGTGCACATGACAACATACACACGACGTGGGCGCAGCAGTAGATATCACAACACAATTCCATAACAGATCCACAGCAACATATATATGCAACAACTCTGAAGAGTCAAATTTAACATATGGATACAATACAAGGGTCTTGCAACCAAGATACAACTCACAGCGGAAGCAAATATATCTTATACAGGTAAATAATACAAATGCCTTAAGAAGACTCTAAAGAAAAGCAAATGACATCCATATCCCTGTTAATGTCATCCTTAATCAAACCTGCTTCTGAAATGTTACCATCTGATTTGCGGCACCCATGGGTAAAAGAGAAAATAAAACAGGGTGGATCAGGTCAGTCCATCGTCGGGAGGTAGACGCGGTGGAAACTGTTCATAGTTAGCGTCCTACGGCAGGTCGGACACTTGCTCTGAGCCTGGATGGAGGCCTGGATGCACTTCTGGCAGAAGATGTGGCCACAGATGGTGGATGACGCATCAACCAGCTCATTCATGCAGACTGGGCAGCTAAACTTTGGTTCCTTTCGGATCTCCTTCAGAGGTGCACGGGATTTCTGCATCACCATGAGCTGCAGTTTGTAAGCAAGCCTTGGAGAGCTGGTATTACTGTACATGATATTTGTGAAGTACAATGCACAATTTTTACCAAGAATCTGTTGGTTGCAGGTGTGTCCACTGTGTCTACCATGAGGTTGTTGCTGCTGGCTCTGGGGTGATCTTGATGTGTAGGGTTCATCCCCAGAGAAAGCAGTGTGTTCACATGCTGATCAGGAGCTTCCCCTGGAAATAAAGCAACACAAACCAAGTTAGTAAATGGAAACATAGTCCAAAAGGGGAAACTAGGGAAAAAAAGGTGATATACACTAGAGCATACAGCTCCAAGACTGAATAGTACTCCCTCTGTCTCAAAATGTAAGACGTTTGTCAAAAGCCATCTTACATTTTGAGACAGAGGGAGTATATGTATGTTCGAAAATGTCATAAATCAATATGGGTAAATACTGAGACTCAACAGTGTGATATCCCATTTCTAATTGATAATGGAATTTTTTTGGAAGCTAAGCGTCCAAAGGAAGATAATTAGTGTTAAATTCTAATAATGGATCTTTCAGGTTAACATTTCACTTGCAGCTTTTTAGTCATACAATAGCTACTTAGTGGATGGTCTTTTCCAAACACAAAAGCTAGACTCCCAGAAAGGTGGTTTGTTAGGTGTTAACACATCTGTTCAATTTTGTCCAATATGTTGCTGGCCATTGGATTTCAAGGCTAGAAGTTTCTACAGCATGGTACAGAAGAATTTCAAAATAAGGTACACAGCCTGAAGGAAATAAGCACAAGTTCAGTAAAACTATCTGCGCCTGGCAGCAAGGTACCCATGTTGGCGTTCAGAGGAACCATGCCTGCACCAGATGACGAAGGGCCAATATTGCCTGTCACATAAGACATTCTAGAAGTTTCACTTGCGCCTTGTGTGATACCAGGTGTCAGAATCATCGTCCCATAGCCAGGGGAAGATGCTATCTGTCTTGACAATTGTTGGTTCTGTTGTCGTTGTTGGTTCTGAGCACTCAACTGCTTGATAGCAAACTGCAAGTGCGGCTCAATTTGCTGCTTCATCATATTGTAGTACTCCGCCTGAATATTTTTTTTTAAATGATGAAACGGTGATATTTAATTTTGCTCGGAAATGGACTTGATTGCTCGAAAGCCAAAGCTACAAAATAAGAAGGCAAGGGGTCAACACCTTGCTTGGGTATTTTCTAAACAAGATTTCCTCAAGCCTCCTCGCGAGCTCGGGTAACCTCCTCCGCCAATCAGCCGAGGTTTGCTTCCTTCCTATATACTCGAATCTGCCAATTCAATAACAAGTATATGTAATAAAATTAAATAAAGAACTACCCTCCTTGCTTTCATATCAAACTCGAACCGTCAGGCATCATCAGCCTTATAGCCTAAATAACCCTCAGAGCCAAACAGAGGATCTAAACGCACCCCAAAAGTTGCCAAATGTGTATGCAACACCCTTCTAAACTTCAAGGGAAGCCACTAAAATTTCGAGCAGCACCATATCTACAATCGCTTTTGCTTATAATTTTGTGAATGAAACAACGTAGTACTCCAGTAAGCATGATGCCTGATGGAATCTATTGTTTAGAGAATTCAATTCCAACCCATTTTCTGGAGCATGAATATCGATTATTTCCAACTGGAGCAGATAAGAGCACTGAACGCTTACATCTTGTCTCGGATGCTGCTGCGCATCATAACGAACTGGGGATCGACCCACGCGTCCTGCGTCTGGCTTTGCGGCGGCGGCATCCCGACGGCGCCGACGACCTGATTCACCTGCGCAGTCTGACGCGCGTCCATCTTCGCGGCCAGCCGGGCGAGTCTCCGCCGGCCCGGTAAATCCCAGCGCAGCGCGAGCTGGATGCCGTGGGGGTAGGAGAGCCGACCCAATAGTAGGAGGTTGTGCGGCGGCGAGCGGCGGGCGGAGACGAGGCGGGGAGACGGAGGGAGAGGGGAGAAAGGAATGGGGGACTTGACCAATGGCGGACTACCCGAGCTGGACTGCACGAGCGGGGTCAAAACTGGGTGGTGGGCCAGCGACGCGCTCCCCTTTTCTCTCTTTTTGACGAGGGAAGCGTCCGTCTCGTTTCTTCTTTCTCCGTCGCCTTTACAACGTCCCCATTTTTTTAAGCTTTTAGGCATGAAAACTAAGGTGGCAATGTGGATACAGATGCCCTTTGAGAAAAAATAGTTTGGCATCTAATGGGTCTCATTAAGGAATAAAAATAAAATAAAGACTAGTACACATGCATCTCTACTCTCCACTTCAATCTTTTCAGCTTTTTACACCGGACCACACCTTTTCTCTCCGAGCATCCGCCTCCTGCAGAGGATCCCGTTTCCCCGTTTGAACTTACCTTTTCTGACATCTAATCCTACATGGCATGCGAGGTATCATCCTGTAGCTATGCATTGGCCATGCCCTTATAAGGGTAAGATTGTTTCATGGTGTGTCTTTTAAAGACAGTTTTTTTTACGGGCAAGTCTTTTAAAGAGAGTATGGGCTGGCTATTGGTATGACGATTTTAACGGTGTTGTGTGGCATGGTGTGTTTCTTCAATTCTCTGAGCTGGTGGTGATGTATTGCAAGACTGCTATGCGTGGGGTGATACTTTAACCAATAATGCTTCATTAATTTCTGGATCTCGTCTCAAGGGTTGAGTGACTATTGCGGTATTCAAAGACTGATATGGTGAGGGCATTTGTAGGTGGCCATTTCCTTTATTGTTGGTTTGATGTATTTTTCAATCTCCGGCGATGGCGTACAATCGAAGGAGGGTAGAGAATATAGTATGATTTTTAATATATATTTTTTACTGGCCGTTCCGTTTCCAGTTGTCAATTCATTATGTTAGTTCTTGTTTTATTTGATTTGAATCATGTCTAAGATGTCATCTAGATGTTGTTATTCAAAAAATGCACTAGGGTTACTTGTTGCAAGAGAAATCCTATGGAATCACCCTACAAATTGTGCCATGTATTAAGCACTAATTTTGATTATACATCACACATTGCAAAAGAATTGGTATGAACCTGCAAGTGTTTAAACTAACACTCTACTAGCAGCACTAACTTGCCAGTTATGTAAGTTGTCAAAAAAAAACTTTCTACTTATGCATGAATATCAAGTTATCAACTGTCTGCTAATATATGGGTACTCAATGTTGTACGATTCTCCGAAAGCTCTTCGGACGTCAGCAATTGAGCCGCGCATGCCCGGTTGGATGGTAACCGCCTGCGCTTGTATAAGGAGGTGGGTCAACTCCAGGCCGCGTACACAACGCGCATGAGTGCAAATGGTGATGTGCCCAAGGCCCCTGGGTGCTTATGATGTAGACCGGCGTGCTGACCTCTGTTGAGTCTAGGTAGGACTACAGTGTGTCGATCAGCCGAGGCCAGGCATGACCAGGAAAAGTGTGTCCGGCCAAAGTTAATCGAGCATGTTGGGTAAGTTGGTGTACCCCTGCAGGGAAGTATGTCTATTCGAATAGTCGTGTCCACGGTAACGGACACTCGAAGTTGTATCTCGATCTAGTACAAGTAGAACTGGATACTTGTTACACTAAATGGATATGATGGCTTCGGGATCGCTTTCTCGCAGGTAGTCGAGGAGGGATCTCTGAGCGTTACTAAAATATACTTGTTACCTTATGATATGCTAATCTAAACTCTTCTAATGCTACAAGACGCCGCAAGATGCTAGTCTTGATAGGCTAGGCCTTCCCTCTATTCTGGTATTTCTGCGGTATAGTCCAAAGATATAGCCCCATTCCTTTGAAACCGATGCATACTTAGCATAGATCGGATATAGGTCTTGTGAGTACTTTGGATGAGTACTCATGGTTGCTTTGCTACTCCTTTCCCCCTCTATCTGATTTTTGCGATCACATGACGGAGCCCAGGAGCCAGGTGATCCCGCTGATGACTACTACTACCCCGACGGAGCCTACGACTACGTGGAGACCACCGACGACCAGGAGTAGTTAGGAGGCCTCAGGCAGGAGGCCTGCGCCTTTTCGATCTAGTTATCATTGTGTTTGCTAGCCTTCTGATACGTCTCCAAAGTATCTATAATTTTTTATTGTTCCATGCTATTATATTATCTATTTTGGATGTTTTATATGCATTAATATGCTATTTTATATGATTTTTGGGACTAACCTATTAACCTAGAACCCAGTGTCAGTTCCTGTTTTTCCTTGTTTTAGAGTTTCGCAGAAAAGGAATACCAAATGGAATGAAACTTTCGCAGTGATTTTTCTTGGACCAGAAGACATTCAAAGGACTTGGAGTGCACATCAGGGAAGCCATGAGGCGGCCACAAGATTGTAGGGTGCACCCAGGGGGTAGGGCGCGCCCCACCCTTGTGGGCCCCTCGTGACTCCACCGGCCTATTTCTTTTGCCTATATATATATTCTCAAATATTTCAAAACCTACGAGGAGAGCCACGGAAACACTTCTCCACTGCCGCAACCTTCTGCACCCGTGAGATCCCATCCAGGGGCCTTTTCCGGCATCCTGCCGAAGGGGGATTCGATCATGGAGGGCTTCTACATCAACACCATTTGCCTCTCTGATGAAGAGTGAGTAGTTTACCACAGACCTACGGGTCCATAGATAGTAACTAGATGGCTTCTTCTCTCTCTCTTTGATTCTCAATGCCATGTTCTCCTCGATGTTCTTGGAGATCTATTCGATGTAATACTCTTTTTACGGTGTGTTTGCCGAGATCTGATGAATTCTAGATTTATGATGAGCTTATCTATGGATATTATTTGAATATCCTCTAAATTCTTATATGCATGATTTGATATCTTTGCAAGTCTCTTCGAACTATCGATTTGGTTTGGCCAACTAGATTGTTTTTTCTTGCAATGGGAGAAGTGCTTAGCTTTGGGTTCAATCTTGTGGTGCTCGATCCTAGTGACAGAAGGGGAACCGACACATATTGTATTGTTGCCATCGAGGATAACAAGATGGGGTTTTCATCATATTGCTTGAGTTTATCCCGCTACATCATGTCATCTTACTTAATGTGTTACTCTATTCTTATGAACTTAATACTCTAGATGCGGGCGGGAGTCGATCGATCTGTGGAGTAATAGTAGTAGGTGCAGGCAGGAGTCGGTCTACTTGATACGGACATGATGCCTGTACTCAAGATCATTGCCTTAGATATCGTCATAACTTTGTGCTTTTTCTATCAATTGCTCGGTAGTAATTTGTTTACCCACCATAATAATTTCTATCTTGAGAGATGCCTCTGGTGAAACATATGGCTCTCAGGTCTATTTTCCATCATATAAGTTTCCAATCTACAATTTTAGTTTCCTATTTACTTCATTTACTTCATTTGCAATCTTTTACTTTCTGTTCCGTAAACCAAAAATACCAAAAATATTACTTTACCCTTTATCCATCTCTATCAGATCTCACTTTGCAAATAACCGTGAAGGGATTGACAACCCCTTTGCCGCGTTGGGTGCAAGTTGGTGTTTGTTTGTACAGGTATTCGGCGACTTGTGCGTTGTCTCCTACTGGATTGATACCTTAGTTCTCAAAACTGAGGGAGATACTTACTCTACTTTGCTGCATCACCCTTTCCTCTTCAAGGGAAAAACGAAAGCAAGCTCAAGAGGTAGCAGGAAGAATTTCTAGCGTCGTTGCCAGGGATATCTACGACAAGTCAAGACATACCAAGTACCCATCATAAACTCTCATCTCTCGCATTACATTATTTTGCCATTCGCCTCTCGTTTTCCTCTCCCCCACTTCTAAAATGATTTTCGAAAAGATTCACCTTTTCTTCGCCCCTCTTTTATTCGTCTGCTTCGCTTGCCTTTTATGTGCTCGTGTGTTGGATTGCTTGCTTGTCATGATGACTCAACAAAATACCAAACTGTGTGACTTTTCCAACACCAATAATAATGTGACGCCCCTGATTCAATCGTACACTAATCATACACGCAAACGTGTACGATCAAGATTAGGGACTCATGGGAAGATATCACAACACAACTCTACAAATAAAATAAGTCATACAAGCATCATATTACAAGCCAGGGGCCTCGAGGGCTCCAATACAAGAGTACGATCATAGACAAGTCAGCGGAAGCAACAATATCTGAGTACAGACATAAGTTAAACAAGTTGCCATAAGATGGCTGATACGTCTCCAACGTATCTATAATTTTTGATTGCTCCATGCTATATTATCTTCTGTTTTGGATGTTTATGGGCTTTATTATACACTTTTATATTATTTTTGGGCCTAACCTATTAACCCAGAGCCCAGTGCCAGTTTCTGTTTTTTTTCCTATTTTAGGGTTTCGAAGAAAAGAAAAATCAAACAGAGTCCAATTGACCTGAAACTTCACGTAACTCTTTTTTGGAAGGAAATCATCCCGGGAGACTTGGAGGCTGATACATCTCCGTCGTATCTATAATTTTTGATTGTTCCATGCCAATATTACTCAACTTTCATATACTTTTGGCAACTTTTTATACTATTTTTGGGACTAACATATTGATCCAGTGCCCAGTGCCTGTTCCTGTTTGTTGCATGTTTTTTGTTTCGCAGAATATCCATATCAAACGGAGTCCAAACGGAATAAAAACTGACGGATATTTTTTTGGAATATATATGATTTTTGGGAAGAAGAATCCACGCGAGACGATGCTCGAGGGGCCCATGAGGTAGGGGGCGCGCCCCAGGGTGTTAGATGCGCCCCTGACCCTCGTGGCCACCCCGTAAGGCGGTTGGTGCCCTTCTTTCACCGCAAGAAAGCTAATATCCGGA